TTAACATTTCCTCATTGGTTTTCATTATGATTTTGGAGATGGTACTGATAAAGAAAATTGAGGGCCTCAACTCATAACACAAATCCTAATTTAGGAATCTTGAATTTTTTAGATAGGAATATTCTTTCATGTCAATTTGCAGTCTGTATGTCTTTCATTAAACACAAACAGCTGACCTCATCCACTAACTCACATATTAAAAATGCATATAATGACAAGACCCCATATTTAATTTTTTTTCTAGAATTTTCATAAACTTCTTTTCTGGTTTAGTAGAATTCCAGTCATCTCCTTATTTAAGGTTTAATTAGTTTGGACCACTGCATGGAAACATAAACAATTATTCCTTTGAAAAACAGTAAAAGTGGTACTTTGCCTCTAAGTGCTGTTGTTGAGCTATGAAAAAAGGTTTTGGTCCCAATGGCCACTGGATTAAGAACAAAGATATTCCAGTAGGTGACATCTTATAATAACGTTTACTGTGTTAACGGAGCCAGCAATGAGGTCCATTTATTCAGCGTTTATTTGAGAGAAGGGGGCGTAAGCCCTGTGAGAGCAAGAGCTGGTTATCTTGTTCATTGTTGGTATTTGCAGTACCTAGCACATGGAGGATTAATAAAAAATGATTGAATGAATGACTGTTGTTGATTTTACAGATGAGGATACAAAGATTCCCAGAATGCAAGTACCTTCTGAAGGTCACTTGGGTAGTAAGAGTAGAATTAGAGTTCAAAGTCTGGTTTGACTCAAGGCTTGTGCCCTTTCTCTCACAACAAACTTGATGCACAGATTGGTGACTTTCCAGCCTCCCTGCGTCTCTTCTAGGTTTGAAGCCACATGCTTTCCTGGGCAAGCAGAGGCAGTGGGAGAAGAGTAAGTGTTATCTTCATAGAAGAGACATCCATGAAGGCCATCAATCCACATCTGAGGTAGCCCTACAAGAAGCTTACCTTGGCTTCTGTCTTTTCAGTCTGGATCCCCCACATTCGAGGTACTAAAGTGTATTTCAGGTCAGACACATCAATAGAGGAAGCAGGCCAAAGCCTTTGTAAGGTACTAAAGTCCTTACAGACATCGGATTGTGTTCCTCCTTGGTGAAGCCCCCTCTCCTTGCTCTTGATATGGCTGAAAACATAGCCAGCCTCTGTGTCTGTGGTAGGTGGAGAAAGATCCTCAATTATAAACCAAAATACAAGGTATTAACAAGAGAGATTTAACACCTAGTCACGCTTGGAGTTACAAGGTGTTAATGAGCAAGATAAACCAAGGAATGAATTTTTGTCCTCCTTGGCTGCCTGGGTTTGCTGTTGGTGCAGAATAACTGAAACCTCAAGTTGTGAAACTATGAATCAGGAGGGTTTCCTGTATTATGAATGATATCATCTTATAAGAGGAGAGACTTTCAGTGAAATGCAGGAACATTCAGGGTAATGTGTTTGCAGCAAGCAGCATCCTGAATTTATTGCAGTGGGCAGTGTGTGAGTTGACCAAAATGGAGAATGATGAGAAGTAACTAAATTATGTATGACAGTCTTTACAGAGCAGAGGAAGGAAGAAAGCTTAATGATGTTGTGGCTGAAGGACCAGCAGCAATTGGTGATGTATAGGTCGGAGGTTGGTAAGAAGAGAAATGGATCTATGAAGACTCAAAGACTATAGATGAGTGTCATAAAGACCAAGCAGTGGATTTGGGAGGGGGAGGGGAACCAGGGGCCCAGCATACAATAAATTTTAGTGGCAACAAGACAGCCAAGTGAAGTTAACTTGACATTAAAAATCATCATCTTAATCTATGTAGCGCTTTCAAGCCTGAGTCTTATCAAGGAAAAAAAAATCTATAGCTAACAATGAAGTATGTTTCCCCCTTTGCTTTCCCGGCATCCACCAAATGCAGTACATAATTTAATTATTGAGTCTACAGGCTGGACCATAGAGATGAAGAACGATGTGTCAGCTGTAGTGAGAAATTAGATAGAACCAACGTTTATTCTCATCATTCTTCCGCCGTTAGGCTAAATTAATATAGTTAACAAGCTTTTGTTTGGATTAGAGGCTCAGATCTGGGATGTGCCGATCAGAACTCATGACTATTACAGTAGTTATTATTTATGGAGTGCTGACAGGAACCTCAAGCCCCTGTGTAAAACAGAAAGAGGTTCTTTTCTCATTCCCCCGGCGGAACCAACGTCCCACCAGACTTAGGGCCTAGATGTCTGAATAGAATAATGCAGTTCAAGAAAATCAGATTAGTTCCTTGGAGCATATGACTTCAGAAAAATCACTGATGCTCTTTCTTATTGACCTGTGCCATGTTTTTCTGATCTTTTAAACAATTGTAACAAAATATGCACAATTTTATAGCCGGCAAACGTTATCGGGAAAAACCAAGAGGGTGTGTAGACAGTGGTGGGGGCTGGGAAGGGGTAGCAGGCTTGAGCCCACATCTCAGGCCCTTCCACACAATTTGAGTAGAAACTGTAAGGTAGCCATGCACAGCGCAAATGCAAATGCAAATGCAGCTTCGAGGCATCTGAGCCTCGAGGCACAGCGTCCCCGCCCGACCCAGCTCCCTGCCCCAAACCCCTCCTGTATGCAAGTGTGAAGCTGCTAGGGGTCACTATTCCCCAGGGGAGACTGCAACACAGCAGGGGACATAGCGACACAGCAGGCGCATTCCAGAGGCCAAACCCAGGTCTCCTTACTTCCCGCCCCTGTCAGTTTCATTGCACTAGACACTTTTGCATCATCTTTTATTCACATATAATATATATTTACAGCGAGAGCTTTAAGCAGTCGACGGCAGATCCAGGTGGGAAAAAACAAACTCACCAACAAGAATAAAAATGACCCAGCCTCAGATTCCGAGATCTGAAAAAACAAAACGGTTATGAAGTCAGAGCCCTGGGAGCGGCCGCGAGCAGCCCTTCCTGGCGCCCAACCCGGCGACCACGAACGCAGGCGGAGGCTCGGG